GCAGATTCCAAACATAAAGAAATTTTAACATTCGACGAAATTTGATAAAAGTTTCTCTCTTTTTAAGTGTTTTTAAGTTGAGTTAAATGGCTGCAAACCTGAGACATCCGTGGTCTAGAGTTAGGGTCACGGCGAATGCAGAGGTAAGCACATAGTGCCATACAGTAAACCTCTTGATCAGAGTAGCAATTCATTAGACGTGGATCAAGAAGTTCGTTAATGGCTTGTTTCTGCAACAACGGTCTTGCCTGAAATGAAAACAACAAAAAAAAAACATTTCTTCTTTGTAAGCATCAAGAGCCTTTTAAAGACTGAAACTTTGGTATACATTTTTGTTTTTTTTTACCCATTCGGTGAGACATTGTTGACCTTTAGGACGTTTAATGTCCATAGCTTTTCTTCCTGTGATTAGCTCAACTAAGACAACCCCAAAAGAGTAAACATCTGCTTTCTCTGTTATCTGACCGCTTTGCGCGTATTCAGGTGCTAAATACCTAAAAGAAAAACAGAAAACTTCCTGTTTGATTATTGTGTTCTACAAAGAAATCAAGATGAATAAAAATGTCAATGATTATTGCATAACATTACCCGAAAGTTCCAATCACTCGGGTTTCCACTCCTTTATCGCCTTCTGGTTGCCATCTCGCTAGCCCGAAATCTCCAACCTGGAAAAGTTATAAAGTTTAAAACTTTGCACACACCTGAAAGAATAGAGAGAGCTTGAAGCAAAGTGAAGATGATTAAATATTACCAAAGGCTCAAAATCATGAGTGAGGAGAATATTGTGAGGACGCATATCCCTATGAACAATGCAACCGACTCTGCATTCTTCGTGAAGGTATCTCAATCCACGAGCTGCTCCAACCGCTATCTTTTGTCGCGCTGACCATCCTAACGGATCTCTCCTCAAACCTATGAAACATTCCATTAGTAGCCATTTTTCACAAGAAAAAAGAAAAAACAAGAATGATCTTTGTGTACCATAAAGATGAGAATGCAAGGATCCATTGCAGATATACTCATAGACGAGCAATCTTTTCCCATCCTCCACGCATAGTCCGATGAGCATTACAACATTTCGATGTTGTGCACAACTTAAGACCTCAACTTCAGAGCAGAATTCTCTGTCACCTTGTGTACTAGCAATCTTATATTGTTTGACGGCAATGATTTGACCATCTGGTAAAGTTCCTCGGTGAACCGAACCAAACCCACCTTCAGCCAAGAAACTACTTTTAGAAAAACCTTTTGTTGCGTTCTCCAATTCGCCATAAGTGAACCATCTTGGAGGGTTTCCAAATTTAGGGGCCTTGTGTTGACATATGGAACATAGTGGAGGAGGTCCAGGAGCTGGCTTTCTTGATAAAGAAACCACTTCTCTCACACTCTTGTTTAAGCATGTATCAGACTTACGAATCTCCTTTCCGGCTTCGGGTTCTTTCTTCGATGAACCGAGCCTTAGAACCGAAAATCTTGATTTTCTCGGAGTTTCGGTATGAGCTTTCGATAAATCCCCACTAGGACTCAAAACATCAGCTGTTGTCACAGGATGAGAAGATGTGGAAGCCATTGATAAAGGACTCCACTTTTCGCCATCCGAGTCAGAATCAGATTCAAAGAAACTCTTGTTTCCATCACTGACCCATGAATTATCTTTCTTGAGTCCTTCAAAGACTCGAGAAACTAGAAATGGCGATGCTCCAGCATCAGAGCTAGATATTGATGAACCTTCTTGGTCTGGACTGCTAGCTGGACTCACAAACGGTTCCCTCAGCTTTTTTCCGGGTCTTGAGCTCCTTCGAGACTCGATAGACTTTGAGGTTAACCTCGAAATAGCTTCTGGATGCTCTGTATCTGCATTTTTCACCAAATTGAGACGAATAACCTTTGGCTGTGACTTCTTGATTACCACAAGGTTACACTCTAATTTCTCAATACAACATTTCTTCTCATACTTGAGTCCCCTGTTTAAGAATTTTCAAATATCAAACATAAATTTCCAAAACTATGCATTAGCAAACACACACATGTGAAGTGTTATTATTCCAAAACTATGCATTTGGAAACACACACATATGTAGTGTTATATATATACCTGTCTAAAATGACCCAATTTGAGTTGGATTTTTTGGCTTGAGTAGCAATAACTCCATCAGGTGAAGCAAAAACAATTTTGATTCTGACATTTATCTGCATTATTAAAACCAAATGATACTCTTTATGATCAGATAAGCCAAAAGAGAAAGCTGTTATAACTAAATCAAGATGAATAAAAAAAGTGAGTTCTCTTACCTTCTCTGCATCATAAACATTATGTAACTGGAACATCATCTGAGAACAAGACTCATGAATATCATCTTTCCGATCCGAATTCGTTCCAGCAAGAAATCTTCCATAACCCGAGGCACAGTCACTGGTAAACCTCGAAAACCCCCAAATCTTTTTACCTGAAAAAAAAAAAAAACCACAATCAAACAAAAGAAGAATCTTTACACATTTATTCACATTCTTCTCCTTTAAAAATCAATTTAACCAGACAAAACCAGTTTCAAACAAAAACTCTGCCTTTTCGATCTTTAGCACCAAAGAGACCAAATTTACCACCACTTAAGAATCAAGAAATTGGCA